AAATTTTAAAATCTTTTTAAGTCTATATTTGATTTTAAAAAGTGTCAAGACAGCGTATCTACAGTTGGAGCCTTAAAGCTTAACTGTTTTATGACAAGTAAATATTTGTGTAAATTGGTTTACTGTAACATGTTACAACAAGTTTGGCAGAGACAAACAAACAAACAAACAAAAGTGTTGATGTCATGGGTAGCTCACACAACTGTGAACGCTTCATGCTGAACTACACTCACCGGCCACTTTATTAGGTACACCTGTCCAACTGCTCGTTAACACTTAATTTCTAATCAGCCAATCACATGGCGGCAACTTAGTGCATTTAGGCATGTAGACATGGTCAAGACAATCTCCTGCAGTTCAAACCGAGCATCAGTATGGGGAAGAAAGCTGATTTGAGTGACTTTGAACGTGGCATGGTTGTTGGTGCCAGAAGGGCTGGTCTGAGTATTTCAGAAACTGCTGATCTACTGGGATTTTCACGCACAACCATCTCTAGGGTTTACAGAGAATGGTCCGAAAAAGAAAAAATATCCAGTGAGCGGCAATTCTGTGGGCGGAAATGCCTTGTTGATGCCAGAGGTCAGAGGAGAATGGCCAGACTGGTTCGAGCTGATAGAAAGGCAACAGTGACTCAAATAACCACCCGTTACAACCAAGGTAGGCAGAAGAGCATCTCTGAACGCACAGTATGTCGAACTTTGAGGCAGATGGGCTACAGCAGCAGAAGACCACACCGGGTGCCACTCCTTTCAGCTAAGAACAGGAAACTGAGGCTACAATTTGCACAAGCTCATCGAAATTAGACAATAGAAGATTGGAAAAACATTGCCTGGTCTGATGAGTCTCGATTTCTGCTGCGACATTCGGATGGTAGGGTCAGAATTTGGCGTCAACAACATGAAAGCATGGATCCATCCTGCCTTGTATCAACGGTTCAGGCTGGTGGTGGTGGTGTCATGGTGTGGGGAATATTTTCTTGGCACTCTTTGGGCCCCTTGGTACCAATTGAGCATCTATGCAACGCCACAGCCTACCTGAGTATTGTTGCTGACCATGTCCATCCCTTTATGACCACAATGTACCCAACTTCTGATGGCTACTTTCAGCAGGATAATGCGCCATGTCATAAAGCTGGAATCATCTCAGACTGGTTTCTTGAACATGACAATGAGTTCACTGTACTCAAATGGCCTCCACAGTCACCAGATCTCAATCCAATAGAGCATCTTTGGGATGTGGTGGAACGGGAGATTCGCATCATGGATGTGCAGCCGACAAATCTGCGGCAACTGTGTGCTGCCATCATGTCAATATGGACCAAGCTCTCTGAGGAATGCTTCCAGCACCTTGTTGAATCTATGCCACGAAGAATTGAGGCAGTTCTGAAGGCAAAAGGGGGTCCAACCCGTTACTAGCATGGTGTACCTAATAAAGTGGCCGGTGAGTGTATATCTACAGGTTTAGGAGCAACATCTGCTGCCATCCAAACAATGACTTTTTCAAAGAGGACCTTCATATTTCAGCAAGACTGTCAGTATGTTTACATGACACTCAAGAAAACAGAATTATTGCCTTACTCCGATTAAGACCGGACAACTGAAGTGCATGGAAACACCTTGGTCCAACTGTAATCGAGAACCCCGATTGTAGTCGGAGAACTTCGATTAAGACACCCAGGTAATGTGATTGGAATTCGATATTCTCTACCATGTAACTTGCGGAGTCGGAGTATGATAGGACAATGCATGTGTGCCAGGCCCCCGTAGCCCGGAACAAAAACACCATGGGCACGAGGAGTAGCGTGCTCCTTATCTGTAGAGAAAGTACCGTGTGCATCCTGTACGACAAAAACAACACTGTACGATCCGTCTTCTTGCTCGAAAATGCCCAGCAGCAGTTGTAGCCACTTCTGACGTCTGGCACAGACCTGCTGTTGTTGTAGGGTCAAGCAGAAACAGCGCCTCTGAAAAGGCCCATATTGTCCCCTAGTTTTGAGGAGGAGGACATGCTCACATCAATAATTCAGCTGCATGTATACGCAGACGAGGAGAGAAGTCCGATTCAGTGTAAAAAAAACAAATTATGAGTTTTGTCCGATCAAGCTGTGCATGTAAATGCACTGAATGACAAACCAGATTCTGCAGGGAGTACAACAGCATGGCTCTGTAGTAGAAGAGTCCTTAAGGGCTTTCTAATGTTTACAGAGTGTTTTAAAAGACAAGACACTCCAACCCAGTGGTAAACATGAACCTGTCCCAATTTGATTAGATTAGGTTGCTGCTTTAGTTTAAAAATTGTGAACATTTTTCATTGATCAATGAGCTGTTTCAGATTCAGTATCTGAGGTTGTCTTTGTACTGTTTTCTCTTAAATGTAGGCTTCAAATGAATAACAAACCAAAAAACCCTGCCTTTATTAAGATTTGATTGTTCAGTCTTTGCTGATTGTTATGATTTTACCTCACATGAAGAGAGCTGAAGCCTCTTTCATCACTCTCTGAGCCTCTGATGGTAAAGTGATTGGAACAGGGAGATTCTGTTTCGCTGCCAAACCCCCATGAATTATTACAGTTACAGTGGAGCAACAAAGTACCATTCAGACTCGTGAACTACACCCAGAGAGGAATAACACTCAGATTACAGCGGGGCCTCCATCCTTTCTCAGAATAGTGAGTTGTTAGCTGCCTTCAGAGGATCAAACGGGAAGCAGACAGTGTTTCTTTGCTGCTCTCTCTCTCTCTCACAACACCCTGCTCTCAGCTCGCGTGTCCTCTCTCCAGAAAAAACACCCTCCCTCTCTCTCTCTAAAGGATTCTGCGTTTTTTAATAAGTTACTCACAGTTAATTTCCACTCTCCGCTGTTTTATCAGCTCTCCCTGTCACTGAACACGCCGTATAAATGTCTCTGTGGCAGCCACAGAGATGAGGAAAGAGAACTTGGGCTGTTTTTTCATTATTACGTGCCTCATTTACACGGCAGGGTATGGCACAGCTCGCCCTGCATGAACTTTTTTTTTGTCTGGCAAAAGATGCAGCATCTGGTGATTTTTTGGTATCGTACTTGTACCGTGTCTATGTTCGAAGCAAGATAAGCTGATACCAAAGGTGTTCAGAAAACTCTTCAGGTCACTGATTGGTCAGAGGGAATCTACAGCTACACAGCATGCAATGGTTTGCAAAGCCTCCTGTCTCATGTTTGGTTTTTGTCTGGATTTGCAAAGATTAGAAACTCTGAGCACAAATTCAGAGGACACACATTTTGAATATTGCCAATCTCCAAACCGATCAGCTACTGTCTGATATTAGTATAGCCTCTGGGACTTCAAACTCACACTAAGACTAGCTTTTCTGTGAGCTGCTTCGTTGACAGTCCAACTAAAAACTAAAGAGACAAGCTGAGTTTAGATTAAAGTCAAAGTTAAATCTGCAGAGTAAAAGCTTTCAATTTCTGGCTTATTACAGACTTTGAGAGACGTTCCTATTTTAGGTGAGTCTCAGTTTCATTGTGCATAATAAGCTAACCAAAAACTTTAACTGTGGTTTATGTCAAACATGAAAAATAAACAAATTTTCTCGTCATTAATGGGTCTTTAGTTTGCTGAAATAAATGCATCATGATGCAGATCCATCACTAAGCCTTTTCGTTTCACTCTTCTCACTAGGCAGCGGGAAGCGAGTGAGCAATGGTTGTTTTTTTCATTGCAACTGTCCTCACAAAACTGCTGCACTTCCACTGTAAAGACTGTTTGAACTCTAAACCACATTGATTGTCTGTAATTTATTACCTTAAACTGTATTTGTATTAATTATAGTGTGTGCTGCTGACCTCTTGGCCTGGTCACCCTTGTAAATGAGATCCTGATCTCAATGAGACTCATCTGGTTAAATCAAAAAATCAAAAAGAAAAACTCCTGCTGATTGACAGCTGTGATATGTCCAAGCAGATTTGTTTTAGATGTGTACTCAGCATGACATAGAGGTAGACTTTGAATACTTACGTACATATTCTTGCTTCTGGATCTCACAGCTGTAATCTTAACATGTGTTGTAAACTCTCTTGTCCATTTCATTGTCTAATTCCACATGTAGGCGGTAACTTTTTTTTAACAAATAATTTCCTCCTCTATTGTTTGAATCATTTTTTGTCCACATTACGGTGAAAATAATTGAAAAAGCTTCCATAACTAGGAGGCAATAATGTAATCAGTCTGTAACATAAAACACGACAAAGAACACGGAGTAAATAAGCATTGAGCATCTTTCTACTATCATCTCAGATGAGCTTGAGTTCAGAGAAGTCGGCGGTGTTTCTGGCTGCTGTTGATCTCTGTCTCTGTCTCTGCATGGTAGAGTTTGAACTTGTAGATGTAGAGACGAACTGTGTTCCCTAACAATGGTTTTCTGAAGTCCTCCTAAGTCGATGTGTTAGAGTCCTTTACAGAATAATGTGGGTTTTTAACGCAATGCTGCCTAAGGGGTCAAAGGTAACAGGCATTCACTGTTGGTTTCGGGCCTTGCTGCTTACCTGCAGAGATTTCTCTGAATCTTTTGATGATATTATAACGTAGATGTTCTTAAACTACTTAGACTACTTGTCCTGGTAGATGTTCACAAAGTGGTGAACCTGGCCCCACCCTTGATTGTGAATGGCTGAGCCTTTAGGGAATATTCCTTTGATTCCCAATCGTGACCCTTACCCGCTTCCAATGAACCAGCTCATCTGTGGAATGATCCAAAAAGGATCAGTTTTCTCAGAGTTTTGTGGGCCTGTCCAAACTTTTTAGGAACATGTTGCAAAGATGAATTTCAAAATAAGTGAAGATTGGCAATATACATACATATATATATATGTATATATATATATATATATATATATATATATATATATATATATATATATATATATATACATATATATATAAAGGTAGTTTATCAGTTTCAACATTAAATATCTTGTCCTTGTTGCATATTACTGAATATTGGTGTAAAAGGATTTGCAAATTACTGTATTCTGTTTTTATTCATGTTTTACACATCTCATTAGAATTGGGGTTTGTAATACACTTGCACACCTAAATATCACCTTTACAAAACTCAGAGAAGCAGAGCTAAACTTTAAATCTTTACTATTGTGATTGATAAAAATAGACTTCTCTGCAGAAAATATGATGCATCCTGTTGTTTATACTGTAGACAGTTGAATCTATGCAGCATATTTACAGACTCTTCTGTTTGAATAAACATGATCCCATTTGAAAGGAACAATTAAAGCACAGTTTGATCCAAAATGAGTCAGATCTGCTCACACCTCACTGAACAGAGCAGCTTTAAAACCAGCTTCAGTTCAGAGCCAAAAGTCAGCTCCCTGCAGTGATCTCCTGCAGATCATCACACTCCCTCAGCTGTGGCTTAGGTCTGCATGAAGAGGTGGAAGTTGGCTCGGGTGAACTCCTGGTGGATGGTCTCTAACAGCATATCATCGTCCTGTCCTCCCTCCATCCCTCCGTCTCTCTGCCCTCCCCCTGTCGCTCCTCGAACGGACAGCGGCGGCTGCAGCTCGGGGGAGAAGGTGAAGCTGAAGTGTGTCCGGTAAATCAGGCCGTCCAATCGGATGAGAGACAGCGGTACGGTGATGATGCGACGCAGGGAACGCCAGCTTTCAGTGAACACAGAGACGTCAGGAACGACGCAGAGCAGAGATTTAGGAGACCTGAGGGGGAAAAGAAGAAGGTGAAAGTGAGGAGAGATCTGTGCTGCAAAGTCTGACTGAAGAACAAACCCAGAGTTTCCTCCATGAGGAAAATCAAACAAAACAACCGACAGATCTGCAGAGAGAGAGTTTTATACTTTGAGAGCTGACAAAAACAAGTTTGGCTCTCTAAGCTTTAAAAACTGATCTTCAATTTGTGTGTTTGTCTTAAACTCTGCAGGATAAAATCTGAGCAGCAACAGCAGATAAATGACAGAAAACAGTGAGAGCAGCTCATTAGATGATTAAGTGTCAGACTAAACATCATCCTGTGGCAGCTGAAGCTCTGAAAGCTCTTTTGATTTCATTCAAACCTTCTCCACACCTCGGCTCCTATGGCAGTGTGGGATCATGTTTCTAATTGGCTGCAGTTTCTCGTACAAACAGCACATTGTGGCCGACTGAGTTACATAAATACGTCTTTCCTCCAGGCTGCTGATGGGGGGGAACATTAGCCGGAGCTGGAGAGGCTGACTTACGATGTCTCAGCACTTCAGGTGTGGGCTCTGAGGTGGACTCTGACGTCAGAGAGGCTGTTTTCATTTGGACGGTGTCATTTAAGATCCTGTGAGGGAAACGCCTGGATGGGATCTTTCTGCTGAGCTTGTCTGTAACTTCGAGACTCCTGCGTGAGACTCAGAGAGACCACTGTTCACTGTGGGACAAGCTGCATGCAACACAAACTAGGCCCGGGAGTTAGCAAGAACCTCATAATTTGGATTCAGTATTGATCATTAGGCTTCTACAAGAATTTAATAAATTGAAGGAAATGACAGAAGTGTCCACGCTCTAAAATTTCCCCCTGAATCAACAAAGAATCTATCCATCTGTATCTCTGTTGAATAGGTGCATTATTTACAGGAGGTCCACTGAATTGTTTCCAGTGCAGCTCTCATGTTGAGTTGGCACCATAGACTGTATATAGAATAAACGCTGTCTGCCTCCTCGCTGGTTGAAGCCACCCCAAGAACAGCACCCTCTGCAGATGGGCTGGTGATGGGACATTGTGTAAAATGTCAACAAAAGTTGTATTTTAAAGGTTTACCTCTCATTTAAATCATGATTGGCCTAAACATTTGGCCAATCACAGTATGAAATTGGAAAAATATGAAAGGAGACCCTGAATTGTTCAGCAGCTCAGATTGTGTATCAGGCAAGGACTAGAGAACACCTCATTTTCCAAACTACAAAAACTGGGTAAGCAAATGTCCAGAAGAAGTGAGTGCAACATGTTCCCACTGGAACTGATCCAAGCTGTCATTATTTGAAAGCATAGACTGTATATAGAACGGACTCCGTCTGCCTCCTCGCCGAGTGAAGCCACTGTGAGAACAGCACCCTCTGGTGATGGGCTGCAGTAAAGGTCATAAATCCCGCCTATGCCAGCACAGTTTATGGAGCCGTAGACAAACTTTAGAAATTTATTCAATAGAATATACATTTTTCCCCCTTGCTTGCAATGTTGACATGTAGTTACTGTAAGACTGGTTTGTGCTCAAGTCAAACTTTTTTTCTGTGCAGCTCTATTTTTAAAAGTTATTAGGGGGTTCATGTTTCCTATGATTGACACTTGATACAGCCTATTGGTGTACAAAGATTGCAGAGCTCACCCGGGGAATATGCTGTTTGAGCCGAGCGTCATCACAGTGACTCTCGGCGACTGTCCCATTGAATGCGTACAACGCTACTGCGCAATGTTGGTTTCAGGAAATGGAGGAAAATCACGGTAATACCGAAATCTTTTTGGCTTGAAATCTGTATACTGGTGGAAGATGGAACCGAGTTGTCCATAGTATATAAAGTCTATGATTGGCACATCTTACTCTCCTTCCATCATGCCTCTAAAAACATAGAAATCCCACACAGTCACTTTATGAGCTAAGCTGATAGAGGGATGGATGTGATATGACCGAAACAATCACAGTGCAGCAGAAACACTTCAGATCTTTCAAGAGCAACAGAGACATGTTCAGCTACACTTGAGGCACTGCAGTGTAACATAATCTATCATTAGAAAATCAGGAAAAATCACCAGTATCAGACAGGATTTAATGATGCTAAGTCGGTGCTTTACATCAAAGAAAACATCCGTTTTGCAGTTGTGGGTGCAGCGCTGATAGTTATATTAGGATAGTAAAAATAAATATCTCTTTTGTTGAGTGTAAGCCTTTAGGATATGTGAATGTTAGGGTTTTAGGTCTGTGCAGAGTCAATGTGAATCAGTTGTGACGAGAGCTTTTTGCTGCCAAGTTTAGACAATTAACCATTTTTTTAGACTACCTCTACCTAAATATCAGACCATCATTTTTTTCAGCAGGGCAGTCACAACAACAAGTCTGTTTTCTTTTACAGAAATTCCTCCAAAAACAGCAAAATAACAGCCTTTTAACTTCTGGGTCAGCTGAAATATAATTAAACCTGCCTGGTTGCGTAATGCTCATGGTGGAAGTGGTCTTCAATATGCAGTAAAAATGTTCATATTTAGGTCAACTTTTATGAGCAGCCAGCTTCACAGACCTGAACAGTCTCACCTGAACATGACTCAAACTTTAATTTGGCCCCTGAGCAGCTCCGCTCTGCACCTGAGGCCTCTGAGAAGGAGACACAGGAGAACAACCGGCATAAAATCGATGATTCAATAAAGCCTCCACTGTGATGAGACAAATCTAATTTTAAATGTTTTGAGCTTTCTTTTGAAAAAATCATGTTTTTACTGAGTTACATGTAAAGAAATTACATTATGCTGCACATTTTTTTTCCCTACAGACCCCCGTCTTTCTACCAGCTAATAAAGGCCACCAGACAGCCGAGCAGCAGCCAATAAAAGTCTAAATACAACTGTTGTTTGACTGTCTGAAGGTAATATCCCACCTTATGCCTGTGAATAGACCTGTGTTTATGTCTCTCTCCCCCTGTTTGGTTTCTGGGTCACATTCTTGGAGTAAAAAGTTATGTACACTAACATACGCTCATTTAGCCCCAAACTAAAGCCTTATTTTCTAATTGATCCCTGCATTTCCCTCTTAATTTTCTCTCCTCTACCAGCTGATCGTTATATTAGCAATACTTTTAATTCAGAGGAAATTCTGCAACATCAGGAAGTACATAATCAGCACACAGCTGAAATTAAACGTTAACTTCTGCAGCAGATGATTATTTGTGTTTGCTATTTTGGCTTTGGCCTTATCTCAGATTTATTTCTCTGCAAAAAGAGCTAAATTAATCAGGAAGTTGATTTAAAGTCCCACTCCAATGGCTTTTTTTTTTAACTACTTAAAGTGTTCTCAGTGGTCTTTAAATTGTGATTTTGAAGTTTTTAGCCAAAATCACATTACCTCTTTTTTTTTCAAGGACTTTTCTTCCGCAGAGTTCCTGTAGCTCATCAGCATTTCACCTCTGAGTCGTGGGCGGAGACAGCGCTGCTCTGCACACTCCTTGTCATGCTAACTTGCAGCCTTACACTGCCGTTGTAGTAGAAGTAGCAGGTAACATAGGAGCTATTCAGCTCTAAGACACTAATGTCTTTGGGGGCATGATGAAAGCTAATATCATAAAAAGCTTTCATGCGAGCAATCCGTCAACGCACACACTTGTTCCGCAATTGTCCTCCAATTTTCCAAGTCTGGCCTGCATAGTGGGGCTCTGCAGGAGGAGCTAGGACTTGTGACATAGAAAATCTCACTGTGTCTGAACCTGCTGTTTGGGTCTGTGAGAGTTTCACGGCGATTTGAATGCAAAAATACTCAGGAATTCAACTTCACACCTGTTTTTCCATATGAACAATGCCATATGAACATGTAGACAACAATAAAAACAACATCATCAGAGTGGGTCTTTAAACCCTGAGCTGAAGCCTGCAGGTGGAGGCTGGGGTTAAAGCTCAAACAGACTGCAAGAATGAGGAGGATGACGGGTGATTATAAGGATGACTTTGACGATATCTAGTGTGAAATTGGTGTTGCATGCCTGGACTAGCTCAACTAGCTCAAAGGCATTGCGCCATTGAATTGAAGCGACACACTCCTGAGTATTTTCTTTGCCACTGGAGCATGAGTACCTATACTGTATGTGGCAAGATAATACAAACATGAGCAGCTTCTGCTTTATGGTTGCATTTTAAGAGCTTTACAATCCACCCCAAAATAAATACAACTCAATTTGCAATCAACAAAAAAATAATCAAAGATATTTTTTGAGCCTCTCTATATTTAAGGATGCTTTTTTAAGTTTTGGTGTATGACTCTCCCGACAGGAGGCTGGAAGTTGGAGGGAATATGCAGCCTTATGTGTTCCCAGTGTAACCTCCACAGTGATGTGGGGAAATTTTACTGAGTGCTGAGCTTGTCTTTAAGAGGTGACGGATTTACAGAGGAGAGAGGGAGAAAAAGGATTTCAGCTGCACATAAGAAGAATATTTTTTACACCACTTGCTAGGACTGTCACAGTCACTAATACATACATAAATATAGATATAAGGATATCGACAAGCCAACCATGGAGCATGGGGGGGGGTCATTTTCAGACAGAAAGGATTAAAACTGCACTGGAATCTAAACTGAAAGGAATTTTGCTCCTTAGGAGACATTGTGGCTTTCAGTAGAGTGGAAAAGGAGATCCAGTTAATTTAGATGAGGCAAAACTGTAAAATCTGCAACCTCGGGACCTCTGTGAAACCAGGAAACACATTAAACATTAAGTTTCTTCTGACAAAAATATCGTTCAACTGCTGCTCCCTCCAGGTCCTGTTTTCCACAGGATCAAGTCAGCGCGTCATTACTCCCTCTTTCTGTCCTCTCTGAACTCACTTGAACATGGTCTCAGCCTCCTTGTTGCCAAACCAGACTTTGAGATGAGGACTGAAGTTTTCTCCCGTGACCTCCAGCATGGCAACATGTCCACCACCATTCACCTGCAATAACAGACATATATCAACAAGAAGAATGAGGTTTGTTTTATTTATGCTCACCCTGTCATATACCATCTGTGAAACAGATAAATGATTGTCAGAGGTCACTGTTGAGTTTTCGAGCAGGTTGGTATTATTCTAAAATCTGAAAAAACACTTACAGCTGCCTCTAAAGATGGGAAACAAGTCTCCAGATTCTACGTAATCCTCAGTATTTATTGCAGAAAAACACAAGAACCAAACTCTGAGAGTAAATAGGATGGTCATGTAGCTCACCTCTAACCCTGTGATAATTGGAAAAGGAGTAACTGCAGTCTGGATGCAGGCCAGACCCTGATTAAAGGTGTACTCCACTGCTTCTACGCCAATGATGGTCCAACACGATCCATCGTTCAGAACCACTCTGCTTGGGTCTCTGACGCTGGACGGAGCCTGGATGGGAGAAATGATGGAGAAGGAAAGATTGAAGTTGGAGGAGATGAATGGTGAGAAAAAAAACTGGATAGTGGGGGATGGGAACAGAGAGAGGGACCCTCACCTGGTACTGTATGATGGAGTCATTGGACAAACACAGGTAAGCGTTGGGGCTGTCTCTGAACTGAAAAGCACATTTATGAAGCTGAGAAACGGGCTCGTCTATGTCCAGGATGGCGTGCTGCTTGTTGACTTTGCGGATCACCTGGCGACACATACAAGGTGAGAGGAAAAGTAAAATCTGTAAACTAGATCAGATATCACATGTTCACTTCCCTACAGTGAACGACATGAAAAGAATCAAAGGGGGGTTCTGAGAGTCGGATCTACAGCTGATTTGATGAAGTCTAAAGTCTCTGCTTTATGAACAGGGCTAAACTGTTGCTCCTTCTCCTGATGCTAGCCCTGTATCCTTAAAACTGGGTGGTTTTGGTCCTGCAACAGACACCCTCATTGGGGTGACTCACACCAGGTCAATCAAACCTCAGCCTGTGTGATATTGGGACTCTGCTGACCCCTCTAGTTAGTAGAGTGTGATGAGGACTGGATTTCAGCTGGTTCTAAATTCCTCAGATTTGTGGATTCAATACAGCGTGTGCATCCAAAATACAGATGGTTATGGCGGACTGGGTTCACTTCCAACCTCCATGTCAAATCCTTGCCCACTGAAGTTTTTAGATTTCTTGTTGATCTTTTGTGGTCTTTACTGACAAATCAAGGACAGTGGAACAGAGTGACTGACCGATAGTTTTGTTTTACTTTCAAGTTTTTCTTAAATATTACAATAATATTATTAAAGTTAAGTTTTATGGCCACTATAACCATGAAGTGAAAATTGGACATCCTGACAGACTTACTTGCTGTCATTTTATTTAGTGAAATGGAAATGTTAGCCCACTCTGTAACTCTGTCCTAATTAACAGCTCACCCTCCTCTTGTGTTAGGGTCTGCACCAACCCGTTTTTGTTAAATGTTTAAAAGAATCACTTAAATTAGCTTTTTTGCATCAAGACTTTTTGACTTTGTCAGGAACCTCTATTTTATCAAAATTAAATGGACTAAATTATAAAATGCTCTCATTAAAATTAAGGTACTTGTTGTGTTAGGGTCGCTGTTGACCCGGTTAGATCAATATTTAATGATAAGAGCAAAAACTAAGATCATAAGTGCACTTTCAGGAAACACACTGACAGTCAGATCCTCTTCCAATCATGTGAGATTAAGAAAATTCTTATTTTGCCGTGTTTTTCCCAGCACAAAAAGCTACATCAGGCATGTCCAGACATATGAAATCAATTGAGTATAGATGTCTGTATGAGGGGTATACTGACAAAGAAAGACCCAAAGGCCCACAACAAAAACTATTATAAGCAACATTTTCATGTATAATTAATCCTAACAGGGAAACCTAAACTTACATGATAGAGAAATGTTTTGAGTGTAATTTGCAGCTGATTTAAGACACAGGTCGAAACCGACCCTTAACATTGTGGATGCGTAGTAAAAGCTAAAACAGGAGGAAGGTTAAACAGACCCTCCATGTCTCTGATACTTCTTTACTCTGCTCTCATGTCTAAATCTCTCCTCTGCTGTGGATCCAGCTGGACCTTCAGGTTTGTTTCGTCTACTCTCACCTCTGCAGTCCCTGAACGCTGACCACAAAGGGAACCACTGAGCTGATCTACTTGCTCAGAAACGACCAGCAGGGAGAATTTCCATGTCTTTAAACAAACCGAGCAGCTAAAGGCCTCCACTACAAAAACACAACGAGGTATAATGAGCAGATATACGTTAACCATGCAGAGGCTCCTGCAGCTGAGGTTGTTATGACAGCAGTTTAGGAGGTATGGAGAGAGTGTGGTCAGCGAAAAGTGAAGGATTCTGCTGAGAGGTTCATCTAAATAAAACTTTAAACTGAAGGACGGCTTTACAATGAGAGCATTTACAGGATTAACAGGTTATGTAACACCTGCACACATCTGTGAGACATATAGAGACAGCGTGGTTATCATCCTCTGACTCTGTGTTTGGAGAATATCACAGGACAGTTTCACCTCAAAGTGAGATCTGTTCACTTTCTGTGGTTGAAAGAAAAACACTCAGGGGTGACATATGAAGGAGAAAAGTCTGGATGAATGGCAGGGCCAATGACTGACAGGAGTCCTGATGCATGTCAATGATTTTAGATATGAAACTGATCACCTGAGAAGGAAACTGTCATCATACTGCTCTTAAACAAATGTTTTTTTTGTTGTTGTTTTTTCTGGTTGAAGTCGGTTTTGGTATCGTTATCTGTTTTCAGAAGAACTTGGGGAAGTTTGTACAAATTTCAGAAACCCTGCAGACGTTTCTAAGTAAACCGACCCTGCATGTAACAGTAAAACTATAAACAAATACTTGATACAATCCCCCTCCTCTCAGTGTCTAACATGAATGTTAGTTGAGATGGGCCAAAACCCATCTTAGGTTGGTTCTTGATCATCAAACAATGAGCGTGGTCTAGACCTGCTCTTGTTCTCTGAAAAGCGTCTTGAGATGACGACTGTTGTGAATTGGTGCTATATAAATAAAATTTGATTGATTGATTGATTGATTTATTGATTGATTGATTGAAAGCAGTAGGGTCAAGTAGCCTGCACACCTCACCTTTGCCCTTACCCTTAATCCAAAAGATTTAGGACACTGTACTCCGTACACCATAAACCCACAGGATGCTTGTCCCATGTGTTCTCATTTTACTCTCTCTGATAGCGCTGGCAGTCAGGAGCAATCTGAAAACTCTCCTCCACTGGGTGAAGGAAACCACTCCTGTCTTGCATAAACTTATGAATTAGGAACCATGTGGGAGAAGTGAAAGGACACTGCGAGCATCCAGAGAGTAAAGGTGAAGCAATGAGTGTTAATGAGTTAATGTGAGCCTAAGAGAGAGAGGGAGTTAAGCATGATGCCATTATGAAAGTTGTAACGTTAGAAAACATCTTGTTTCCTTTCTTTTGTATAAAGAGCTGGTTAATGCACATAGTCTGGATTGAAATAAACCAGGTTAAAATGTCTTCTGTTTTTGATGCACATTACAGAAAAAAGGCACTTTTACTATTACTACTAACCCTTTTAGGAGTTTCTCAGGAGCTGATGAAAATCAAAATATGGAAGCTTTGTGTTACTTATGATGATACTCTGGGAGGCTAAAGACTCCGGGAAAATATTTATCCTCCATAATGCTCACACTCTAGTAGAGTCAGTTACACTGGGAGTGTGAGCATCACTCCATACCATTCAACAGGGCGCTTTGTCATTTTGTTCAGACAAAGAGGGGACCCAGTAATTACTTACAGTTCATCACAAAGTTTAAAACAAACAATTAATGTATAACGGTGAAAATCTGAGTGTTTAAAAGTATATAGTACAACTGTTATGGGGAAAGGGAATCTTGAAATTTAAAATTTAGAAAAGCAGTTCTGGCACAAATGACCTGGTCCATTAAAGGCTGTGCCAGCTGGAACAAACTGACATTAGCTATTAGGGCCCCACGTTTGCTGCTCTTTTTAGCTAACTCCTCTTTTAGCACTATCCCTAGTATTTTTATTGTATTGTTTACTGTTTTGTATTTCTGGCAATCAAAATTACAGTACTCTGTATTGTGAACATGCCCGTGAATGTATCCCATATAAATAAATGATAAACTAAACTAAAAAATCTGCCAAAGACTGAAATGTATTCTTGGCAATTTATAAAAAAGTAATATTCATAAAAGTCACATTTCAAGTAACATTATGGTAAAAGACCTTCAAGGAAAATTTTCTCTTATATTTTTGTTTTATTAAAATGACCAGAAATAGGGGTCCATTCTTGGTCAGTCTGGGCTGATAGTCCACTGTTTGTCAGGTAAGCATGTATGGGTGTGTGTGTGTCTGTGTGTGTGGGTGTGTGTGTCTGTGTGTTACCATGGGTGGCAGAGTTACTCCTGATTCCGTGCACACCAGTCGAACCACACAGCCGTAACAGATGAAACCTTCACTCAGCACAAAGTCGCTATGGTCAGCACGCTGGTCCTCCACTGCACACACACACACACACACATGCTTAATATTTGCATGACTAAAACCACACAAACACACACTTTCCTGTCTACCCAGCTTTATTTCATCACAGTCTCATTAATTTTTCTCCCATAAATTTGTTTTTTCTCCTCCTGCTGGTGATTTTTCTATAAATAGACAAATTCAGACAAATCGAAATTCTGTGTGTGTTTAAGTGTGTTGTTTACATGTGTGTTTGTGGCAGCATGGAGCTAGTAAGGTGGTTTTGGATGTGGGAGGTCCATGCACAGAGGCCACTGTGTTAAATAAACACCCTCACAGATCTCCAGAAAGTCTTTTCCAGATGAGTGTGAGGGAAACTCTGGAGATCGAGCGCTGGCACACTGACTTCATTAATGCAGGGTGGTTTAGAGGTTTGTTGAGTCATTAGAAGGTAACGTCCTTGATAACCGTGACACCACCCTCCTGACCTCTCTGGTCACGCTGAAGTTAGAGCTCTGAGGAAATCACTGAGTTAAACCCCTGCAGCAGATAAACATCCCAGCATGTCTTATTTTACACTTGACCAGTTTCTCCAAGGCATCTTCTGCTATAAGGTTCAAATATAAAATAATACAAGTCCACTCTAACCATGATTTACACTGACTGGTTTCTAACAGCTGGAGGTCCCTTGAACTTTCAAGAGTCTTTTTTGGCACAACATGAATCAAACTAATCAGTCAGTATTCCCTATAAGAAACAGGAGCACCAGGTGCCAAGTTGGCATGTTGACTACTCCACACCAGATTTCAGCCTTTCTATTTAAATACCCTGAATATTCTCTGTTTCCGCTCTTCTAAAAATGCAGGAAGCTCACGAAGGACACAAGAAGTAATATTGATGCATGCATTGATGTTTTATGTTTTCTGCTGCTGGATCCCATGACTGTATGTTATACTGTGTGCATCATGGATACTGTAAAGTTTCTAAAGTTAATATCTGCAGTAAAGCTGGTTGATAACATTTATATTTATGCAGTTCTTTTTGGGGACTCTAAAAAATACCTTTCCCACAACAATCTAATTCACGTTTGGGAAAGGGAACCAGGGTGGTTTTTTTGGTAGTTAAGCAGCGCACAGTCTGTCTGCTAAGTCACAGGCTGCAATGAGGTTGGACCAGGTTCCTTGGTTAGTCATCACCATGTTTTTGGTGTAACACAAATCAAAACAAACTATGTGTCTGCTCTAGTTCTCTAAAAGAGACAGATGCAACTGCAAGTAGACATGTTACTTTTGACATGGCAGCGTTCAGCCTTTTTCCTCCAGCTAATCAGGTTTAAGCCTTTAACTTCCTTTTCTACATGCAGAAAGCACACACCGGCCACTGTATGTTGGTTTATGGATTGATATAAAATCTACTTAAATAATTCCTCTGAGCAGTGGATGCAAAAGTGGCTATCCAAATTGACACAAGTACATTTACACATGTGGTACAGCAGAGTTAACGTCAATAACTATTTAAAACTCAGGGAATACAGACAGTATTAGACAGGATCTAACATCAGAGAACATCCTGTGTAGTTCAAACCAAAAGCAGGACATTATTTATGCTGCTGGATCAGACAGCTGTTTTCTACAATGCATACACAGTAAATACTGTTCAGTATCTGCCATTATCTGTGCGCACATTGCTTGGTAGTTTTTAAAGTTAACAGTCATGAGGATAAAAAAAAAATCACTTTTACTGCATGTGAAAGTGTGTGTGGGTCTGTTTCTGTGTATACTGGACAGAGCGCATGATGTAGAGCTTGGAGATAGTCTCAGTCTGGAGTATTTGGCCTGCGTGGGACTGAGGTGATACCAATCTTTAAGAAGATAGTGATGAGGGTGTAATTAATAATGTCCCAATAAACACTCAGTTTTTGTGTACAAGAAAAGAAATGCATGCTGTGAAATCTTATGGGAATCTTATTATTTTGCTTTCCCTCACCCTCTAAATTCCAGAAGAGCACTGATAGGCTTCAGGCCTCGGACAAGGTTTTTGTTGGCCTACAAGATGACAGAGCGCCAACTTTGCACTTGGCAGCAAGATAGATGTGAGTTTATTGACACAACATGGAGCTAAAAGTGATGAATACCTCGGCAGAATTGAACGATGACACTTGCTCTGTGAGTCAAAACACTTTGCGTTGGGTGTGTGATTGAGCCAGTGAAGAGGAATAAGAAGTCCAGAGAGGCTCTGACTGACACTAAGTAGATTTAGGGGGTATTTGAGGGGAAAAAAAGGGCTGGGTATAAAGAGCCCTCATGTGACAAAGAGCCACAATGATACAAGAACAAACAGACAAAGATGTAAAGAGAGAGAAAGTCATGAAGAACTAGTCTTTTTTTATGTACAGTCAGTTAACCTATAGACAGACTGACCAAAGTGTGACCTGTGCAGTGCTGGATAAGTTTATGTGGGACTCAGAAAGAGCTGACACACTGTAATCACACTCTTATAAACACACATTTAAAGACACACACACACACACACACACACACACACATTTACCCAGAGTGATGGTGAAGGCGGTCCAGTGTCTGGCGCTGGCTATGAAGGCTCCTCTGTCCACCGAGAGGTACCGCGTGCTGACCGTCTGAGAGCGCAAACGGTTAAACAAAGCCACTCTGGAGCAGGAGGAGATACACACTGTGGCAACACAAACACACACACATACACTGTGAATGCAAAGAAAACCACAGAAATCGGAAAAATCAGAAACATACACAGAACAGGAACAGGAACTGAGATGTTTTCTTTTCCCGTCTGCCGGCATGTGCATTTTATTGGTTGATGCATCATTTGCAAGCTCTGACACGTACACACACACATGTACACACACATTAAGACACAAAACACACAAAAAAGGAGAAACATTGATGATACACCACATAAAAATTTTACAACACACACTCAAATTGAACTTTAGTGGATAAAAAAGCCCCTGTTGCCCGCAGGAATGTACAATTGATTATATAATTCCTTTTGAAACTTCTCGACACACATAAACACACAAGTACAGGCGGTAAGTCCACAGGTGAAAGGTCAGTCTCTCACAGGAACTTAAACTACGTCACCTGATCTGCTGTCTCAGCTGTCAAATTGATGACTTATTTTAGCCTGTTTGTGAATGTGCATGTGTTTGTGTGAGAGAGAGTCATGGTGTAAGATGACTGAATGAGGCTGACCCTCTAGCTTTCTGTGACCCAAACAGCACCAAGAGTCTTGACACAAACATGTTGATCAGTAGGATCACTGACTGGTGCAACAAAAGCCTGTCTTTATGCAGCTTCGATTTGCATGTTGAACATCAAGTATCCAACTTTCTCTCTCTTTCTTAAGTCATGCAACCTTAATTTTTCACTGTACACCACAGTCACTATAATCTTTAACTTTGTATTTAACCAGATAAAAGATTTTACACTCATAAATCTTTAAATGACTGAAAACAAGCTCTTGGTGTTAGCTGCAGCTCAGCTCACGGCCCCTAAAACTCTGCTAAAGAGACACTGATTTTAAAGTTCTGCTGCTTGGTACAATGAGTGGGTTTCCATGGACACCAGTATCCGTGTTCAGAATGGTGACTATGTTTGGTGTCCAGGCCCTGAACTCATAACTTCTCAAACACTAATCTTTGAACGCTTATGATGGATACAGATGGATGCTGGGGTGGGATGGGCATAGCTGTGGGAAGTAAGGGTGCTGTGGGGGCTGCAGTACCTCTGGTTGGAAAAAGAAACACTTTATTACACTCATCAGTAATAAAACTCTCTAAGTAGAAAATCTTCATCCACTCTCCTCTGGTGTATGACTGATGACCTGTGTGGTTTCACAGAAATACAGTAAAAAGATAAAAGGAGACTCACGGTCGGCGTTCTTCATGGACTGTCTCTTCTGTGAGGGTTTAGAGATAACTTTGATCATCCTGCTCTGAAAGGATCCCACTTCCTGTCTGCTGCCCAGGAAGAGTCGAAGCAGCAGGCAAAAGTGTTTCCTCTTGTCCTGATCGGAGATGAAGAGCGACTTGGCACAGGCAAACATCTGCTGTGGACCAGAAACAAGAAACCAGAACAATTAGGAGACACAGAGCAAACAAACACTAGAGTTCATAAAAATAATTTTTACTGTATATTCTGATGTTTCTCTGAATGACCTATTTTTAAAAAACTGTGTCTTTGGGTGACCTTACTCTTTCCATCCTGACTGACTTGGAGTACAGTCATGCAGATAAAACTTGTTTTTGTACTCTGTCTCCTCCTCAGTCAGCCAATAAAAAAGAGGCCAGTGAACACACACAGTGTGTTTACAGTAACACAGTTTTTCTGTCAGACAGCACTGTTTGTCCAGTCAACAGAGGTCTGTAATAAAGCAGCAGATTGTCTGGTCTGGGTAAACACACAGAGCTGTCTGACGCTTAGACACAACAAGCTGCTGTTAAAGATCCATCACTCACTCATCTCCAGCTGCTGCTCTGAGTTACGCAACACTAAATCACAGAAATCAGCTCAGTGGACACATACAGAAACCATCAAAATTACAATTATATGATAATCGAGACTGAATCAGAACTGTGATGTCTGTTCACTCTCACTTTCCTCTTTTACTGCAGTCTACGCTCTGCTGCTCCACTCAGACAAATCTAACTTAAACTTCATCACTGAGAGTTCACACTGATGCACAACAAAGTTGAGTCACTCAAGGTAACTGTGAACATCTGTAATTCAGCATGTGCAGCTTCAGTACAAACAATCATGTCACCACAGGTGGAGCTTAAGAAGGAGCAGGTGGAGAGGGGAAAGCACGGAGAGGAGCAGGAGGAGGCAGGTGCTGGAAAGGCCAAGGAACAAGAAAAGCTGCAGGGACCACAAACGTGAACCAGCGAGTGAGACTTCCAACTGCTCGGCTAAAAATCTAGCCTGTTGTTTTAATAAAAAATTAAAGCCTTAGTAAAAAAAAAAAAACAGAATGACACGTTCTGCAGCCTGTGGTAAATATGCAGTCCAAATATATAAATAAAGAAATATATGGCTACCTGAAGAAATACATTTTTTTAAGGATTTTTTGAACTTTTTCATTTTTCTGTCATTTTCTCCAAAGAAAAGGAGTTGTAAAGTCATGTATACAAACACACACAGACACAGACAAATATGTTTTTTTTTTCTTTAATCAAAGTAGTTGTGATTATAATTTATGCCATACTAGAGCAGCACCACTAAACTCCCTTTATAATTCTTTCTCCTACTGTTCACAAACTGGAAACTGGATCCCCTTTGGCTTGTTTAGCCTCTTAATTCTTTCACCCTGAAACAGTGAATCCTGAAAATGAAACCATTTTTCTTCATCACTTTCATGTGTCAGTGTTGCACCATCGTCAGAAATGTGTCCAAGAAAATTTCTCCTCTGATCGTACTTCATAATGATGTGGTTTTACCATTTTCAGACCACCACACAGCTGATGACTGTCCAGGCCAGTAGTCAAAACAAACAAAGCTTTATGACAGTTGAAGTTCACTGAGACAATCCAGATGCGTCAAGTTTTCATAATGGAGTAATATAATGGAGCATGTTTTCAGACGTGGTCTCATGGAGAAGTGATGATGGATTTAAACTTCTTTCACATGAAGAGTGAGTAAAAACTTCCAACAACAGAGTTCAAAATCAGCTTCCTTTTAAAAAGAAAACTGTGATTTTTCCTTTTTTTTTGTTATGGATGAAAATTTTCCGAGAATGGTTTGGTATGTGAACGGTACATTTTATCAAAGTAAAAGAGCATTACCTGTTGGAAACAAGAACTAGTAAATTTCATTATGTTATTTTTAATGAACTGTAACAAACATTCCTGCAGATCATAACTTAGTTAAAGGGATATTCCGGTATAAAATTAAGTTAGGGTCAAACACACCGTAACACTGAGTTGGACACCCCCTTGAGATGAATGTTGCCGACTGCTTGCTTCTCTGGTTATACTAACTTCAGCAATGATCGCATGGTAGCGATACACGGTGGTCTGCGGATCCACGTGCACACCTCAACCATAGACTGTATATACTATGGACAACTTGGTTCCGCCTCCCGCCTGTATACGGGAGAGCTACGGAATCCCTGAACGCCAGTAGGCTGTATCAGGTGTCAATCATAGAAAACATGAACCGCCTAAAAACATTTAACTTACTGTAGCTACATGTCAACATCACAAGCAGGGGGGAGAAAAATTTATATTCTGTGTAATAAATTTCTAAAATTTGTCCACAGCCCCATAAGCTTTGCTGGCGGAGGCGGGATTTATGACCTATACTGCAGCCCATCAATGAAGGGTGCTGTTCTCGGGGTGGCTTCACCCAGCAAGGAGGCAGACGGCGTCCATTCTTTATACAGTCTATGACCTCAACCAAAAAGCCACTCTATTGCCACAAATATGCTCAGAACAGCACCTAACACTACAACACAATGTCCGTGCTCTGTGCCTCAAACTACACATGTATTGGCCTGTACTTGTCAACATATAAATGTAACTCACAGAGATTGCTGCAGCACAGACAGATCTTGCTGCACATCATAAGCCTGACAAAGACCTCAATATGCACAAAGATGTAGGGCCTTTTCTGAGTCCTTTGATTTGATTTAATTGTTTTAGGCCTGTTTGGCACTTTGTTCAACTGTGGCTGTGCTTACATGTGCTGTTCAAGACTAATTTTGACTTTTAAAAACTCTATCAAATTTTATACTGTATGACTCTACAACCACTTATGGATACGACTGCATTTGCTCATAAGAAGACATATGAAGACAGATGATGTGAACAGCAGAACTCAGGTGGTTTGGAGACAAAATTAGGGGATAATTTAGCCAAGAAAATGACCGGCTTGAATTTTCAGACACTTCTCTGTAATAGAAGGAACTGGACTGTGAGAAAACGGCACAGAAGACAGGTGAGCACTGGGCATTAGATCAGTCAGATGAACACTTTTCCCTCACCTTGGAGTTTGGCTGCTCATCGAAGACCAGTTTAAAAGTGTCCGCCTGAGCCTGGCTGCAGCTGTCCAGACACATGTAACCACACACTCGATACGCAGAGTCTCCATAGCCTGCAGCTGGAGGGGGAGGACAAGAGGAGAGGGGAGAAAAAGACAGAGGACAAATGAAGTGATGAAAATGGAGAGGGACCTAGAACAATAAGAGTTAGAGTCTTTCAGATTTTTCATTATCATCTCCTCACCTTTGAGGTGGTCCTGCATGACTCTCCATCCATGACCGCTGATGTAAACACAAGGAGGTGGGCAGAAGAACCTTAAGGGATAAAACAGAGCACATGATCATGAGCTAAATGATATAAAAATGAATTTGAGAGTGGGTCAAGTTTTGGCACCTTGACCCTTTGAAAACAAAAATGATCAACTGTGTAAAACACACTCAAAATGCAAATTCAACATTCTTATAAACATGTAGAGTTATCACCCAACCTCTTTTCAGTGCCATAGGACTTCTGGGCAACTTTTGCGTGCAGGATGGTGACACTCTGGTCTGCGTGTGCTTCTCTTCCTGGTTCCCTCATTGATCCAAGGAACTGACAGCCTTGAAACCCCAGATCAAGTCTTCTGATTGGACGATAAAAAAAAGGATTTCAAGAAAAAAGTCATAAATTGTAGAAAAGACAGTCACAGCTTTAGCCTGAGATCAGCCTATATGTTATTACGAATGATAATAAAAAGATTCATAAGTATTAAAATGTTGTTTTATGGGTGCTTTGAAATATGAGAAACTATTTTTTTACCAGTAGGTTGAGAGATACTGTAAATGAAAGACTGACAACTGTGCTGGAACAGACAGGCAGAAAGTTTCTTGCACATTTGCTTTTGTTAGTGTTCACAGTTGTGGCTTTGGACAAATATTCTCTTCTGAGACCTTAACATATATAATGTGTAAAGTCAAGTCAGGCTAATATGGATTTGTAATACTAAAAACAGCCCAACACACCACAGGCGGCTTTGACTATCTATGAAAATTGCCCCTATTTATTGTGTTTGGTAATGGTAGCTTTAGTGCAGAGCGCATATCAGGAGTCATCACAACAGAGGTATTTCTAAAACAAATACACCTTGTTGGAGTGTTGTTTTTTTTAAAGGAATTTTACATTTAATCAACAAGTGGCCACAGTTGGCTGGCTTCCCTCAGCTTCCTGGGCACCTCAAGTGCGTCTGCACAGACAGGGCCGTGGACTGATGTACACCTTTTCCTGTGTTGGCAACAAGAAAGATGTAAAGATGCCCACCCACTTTAGCCTCATTGTGTCTTAAGTTAAAAAGTCTTTTCACACACAAAAAAGTGCCCGCTACGTCATGGATACTTGGAGTCCCAGAATGCCTTGCACAAAAATACTGGCCCCCTATACAAAAGCATTCTTCAAGGGCCTCTATCTGTGCCTGTGCTGACGGCCACGCTTTATTTTATATTTGTGGGCCCCTCTGAAATGAGGGCACTATAGACTCAGTATCCCCCCCTACACACACACACACACACACACACACACACACACACACACACACACACACACACACACACACACACTTGCCCTGGCAGCAAGGTGTCCATTAGCAAAACACCATTAATGGAGGCGAATTTAAAGATGCCAGAAGATGCTCCTGGTGTGTCTGAACAACCAGTTGAAAATAGTTCGACATGTGGAACACACCACGCCCATCAATGTCACTTTTTGACGGCCAGCCAATCGGAATCAAGAAGGCCAGGACTTTGGAGTACAGAGATAAGGGAGGAGGTCTGTACAGGGCAAGAAAGGATCAAACTTGTTTTAATGAAGTACAGTTTCCAGGCGTGGAGCTCCTGCTGTTGCTGTAAAACAACCTGATGATACATTAACGATAATAGTGAAAGTAGGCCACATAGAGAAGACAGTGAGGCTAAATCCTCACTGGAGCTTGAAATTAGTTTTCACCCCACAATAGACACCAGAGCATCTGAACATGAAAGGTCAAGTTGCAAATCACAGAGCCACTACATCCTGACTTTTTTAAAAACCTGTTTCCATGAGTCCATCCATTTAAAGTCTGTGTAAATACTCTGTAAGAGGGAGTCCCTGGTCCTCACCTCTGCCTCCATACAAAGGTTCATGTATTCAGTGTATTCAGAGGAGAGCTGGCTGCTCCTTGTAAGGAAAGAAAGTCTGCCTGCTGAGCTGTATACTGGAGGTTTTGTTCATATATGAGGGGATCCCAGTGACCCGGCCCACCTCTCTCCACGGTTCACAGTTCAGGGTTCACACTCCACTGCCTCTGTGTATGTGTATGTCTATGTGTGTGTTCTATGTGTGTGTGTGTGTGTGTGTGTGTGCGTGTGTGTGTATGGGCAGTCACCAGGGTGCAAGCAGAAGTCTAAATTAGACCTTAGCCTCTTCAAAGGTCAAAGGTCAGTGTGTCAGGAGCTCAGACTCTCTGGCATTTCACACCAGGAACACAGAGAGGACAGTGAAGAGAAAGAGGAGAGGAATGCACTTTCACCTCCAGAAATCAGTCCATCTTCTGGTCCAGAGGAAACGTGGCCAAAGCTGGAAAGACTAGAGTTATAAAACCTGTTTTTGAGGGTCGATTCAGCATGTGTGAGTGCTCAGGTTCTGGGACATGAGACCAGCAGTCAACTATGATGAAAATAAGGGCTTTAAGGGTGATATTTTTCATCCTCTGAGCAGATTACTTTCTGTTATATTCAATGATGTTTAATCTCTATTTACAGGCTCCACATAGAAATGTTGACTCTGTCTATATATTAGTATGAGAAGTGTCAAGGTGCATGTGTGAGTATTTGCCAATCAGGTACCAGCTTTGGTGTCTGCAAAAAAAAACAGTGTATGGAGAGCAAAAGCAGGAGGAACACCAGTCCCAGTCAGTTAACATCTATGCTAAACCAACTGATGCTGTTTTGCTAAAGTTAACCAGTAGTGAGAATCCCTGACTTCTGAATACAACAGAGACAAGGATCCAACCTTTATCCAACAAACATTTGAAAAGTGTAAGTACAAGAGAACCATGAGAAAATCCATTTCTTTTTCTGATGCATATACCATGAAGGTGAGCCAGAGTGAAGCCTTTGAATAACAAACTATTTACAGTGAAACTGAGACTCAGCACAAATAGATGAACAATCACGACTGCTGAAGAATGTAATAAACCAAGAAATGATGGCATTTTGTTTTGCAGATCATCAGTGGGGGAACTTTGGTTTTGTTTTTGGTCAAAACTCAAAGTCACTTCCTAAACTGTTGACTTAAGAAGTCATTGCGTCACATTTTTTTCCCCTCCAGTTCATTCATACTTTTGTTGGGTACTGCCCCTAACCTCCACATCACCCAACCAATACAGTTTTTATCCCATCAGCCTTGTACAGTATCATCATTAGACATCTAACCCATCCCTGTCTCTTTTCAGGTCTTTAGCTCAGTCAGCTCAAAAGCATCAGATATCATCATTAGCCATCACCTCCACTGGATAGTCAGCCTTTAATCACCAAATCCTGTGTTGAGTTTAAGTGCCAAAGATATGCTGAAAATAACATGTTGATATTTAATTTCTACAGGTTCAAAATGTGTCTTTAACTCTGCCGTTGTCTCTCTTAGCCTTTTATCTGAACACACAGCTGTTATCTTGAGTTGTTGGTTGTTGGACTGTAAGTGATGAAGCGCACAAAAAGAAGTCGTGGTCAGAAGTTTTATGTTGCTAAATGCTAACTACACCAGAATACCCTGACAGTTTCTCTATTCCTGGGAGTGCGGTGTAGATAGCTAGTTCGATATAATGCTGCTTGTGCTGACTCTATGGAGTCTTGATATTCTTGTGTCATTTTTGGCGCCCCCTGTGGATAAAACAAGCTGCATATTTTGTTCTACCCGTGTTGGGGTATTGACTTGTGACCACAAATATTATCCTTGTGACTTTTAAAGCCAAATGTATTATCTATTGTAAAGATTTTATGAAAAAACTGAAAAATTAGGACTGTTTCTTCAGCTGCTTGACTGACACCCAGCTGCAACTCCGGTTTCACCTGTTAAAAATCAGGATAAGAAAACCATTAACCTTGCTGCTGGTGGTCTGGTTTGTTTTCGTACATCATAAAAAAAATCATCAAAATGAATTCCACTCTATTTCATAAATGTCTAAAAACTCCTCACAGGTGCTTTAAGATATCACCACTGATAGACTGTACAGAACGCCGACTGCCTCCTCGCTGGGTGAAGCCACTCCGAGAACAGCACACTCTAGTGATGGGCTGCACTATAGGTCATAAATCTCGCCTCCTCCAGCAAAGCTTATGGAGCTGTGTACAAACTTCTTTTCTTTTTGTCCCCCCTGCTTGTGATGTTGACATGTAGTTACTGTAAGACTGGTTTGTGCTCAAGTCCTCTTTTTTCTGAACAGCTCCGTTTTTAAAAGTTATTAGGGGGTTCATGTTTTCTATGATTGACACCCGATACAACCTATGGGCGTACGAGGATTGCGTAGCTCACACAGGGAGCGAAAGTTTATTTTGTAGATGGTACGGGAAGGGCCCGCCCTCCTTCAGCTCTGATTTGCTAAAAGTGCTGGGCTCCGATTGGTTATTCCTAATGGCTGTGAAATGTCATCGTCTGTCAGGTTAGGGTTAGGATGAGAGTTAGGATTAGGGTTAGGGTTTGGAGCTTGAGAGGTGCGATAATGTTCTGTAGTATTCTGTTCGATGTACAGAGCCGACAGCCTGCGTTTGGCTTGAACGTGTGATGACGTTTCCAACTCCTTTAGCAAATCAGAGGCGAAGGAGGCAGTACTCTCCCAGTGGCGGCTGCTGGTCTTTTGAAGGAGGGGAAGCTCATTTTTCTGGCCAACATCATAATTGTGTTTGTTTAGTATGTAACAGAACAGAGTCACCAAACACAACGGCAGTTGTTTTTAACAATGACAAAAGTCGCTGAGGATCGGTAAAGTCTCTGGAGCAGTTAAGAACAACGGAATGAATAACTTGGAAAATGCTCTGGTAGATGTTTTATTCTTCAAGATCGCTGATTCGCTTGTTTAGCTGTCAATCAAAAAAAGATTTCACCTCAGACAGCTCATCCAATCATGGATGCAGAAGCTCAGCGTCCGCGAGAAAGTTGGGACCGCCCTCTCGTCATAGAACTCCAGAGACGCTGAGCGTCCGATGGGCGGGACAAAGCCCAGCATTTATCCAATGAGTGTCTAGTTTCGCTGCTGGAACAACCCACTTTGAGCTTCCACACTGAAGTCAGCAGACGCTGAGCGTCCGGCTGTGTGAAGCACTGAGGTGCTGCGAGGGTGAATGAGAACGAAGTTGTGCCGGTTACCTGTGATTATCAGCTTCTTATCACACTGTGATTCTTATCACACTGTGATAAGAAGCTGATTCTGAACAAAAGATGAAGGCTTTCTAGCGCGTATTTAGTTTATGAAATGTACACACAGCAGTACGTATTTCACCACTTTTTCTTTTTCGGGGGGTGACATTTTAATCGCGGAGAGATGGAGATGGAGAAAATCGCGGAAATACAGAGAGCTTTTCGGTTTCAAATCCGTATACTGGCGGAAGGCGTAACCAAGTTGTCCATAATCTACATAGTCAATGGACATCACCCTATTGGTGAAGAACATCAGGTTAAAGGTCATTTAATGACAATCAGCTAACTAACCCTAACACATTTACAGGGATGCTGATGATGTGTTGTCACCTAAGATAAAATAAAATAAAATAAAATAAAATAAAGTAGAGATTTAGAACAGGTCGACAACATAACTTTGTTGGAGATATTAATGACTTTAAATTTAGACTCTTCAAGGACATTTAGCTGATGCCTCCCGGACTTGTGTACCCTGGTCCCACATCTCCGAACCTCTCCACGCTCCCTGCAGAAAGCACAGACTCTCACCGCCTGCTGTTCGCATTTCAAAGATGGGGGGTGGGGTCTCTCCCCTCACGCATAGTTCTCCTCCTGTCGTTTTAATACCTTCACTCCATCCCTGCACCACCTCATTCCACGAGAGTCTAATCGAGGAGAGGTCTCAGACGCAGGGAAGACCCACCGACCTGGGCACATTTTCACGTCCACGCTCTCATTCCTCACAGCTCGGCGAGAGAAGCTCTGACAGTGAGACTTTTAAAGGATAAACTACAGCAGGTCGTGACCTCACCTTTACAAACCCGGACACTCTGTGTGTGTCTTTGAGTGAGTAACTGGACTTTTTGTTGCGGAGCTTCAGTCCCAGGCTCACCTGTCCCATCCGCCGCTCATCGGTGCGTCGTGTCCAGACAGCAGCGTCCCCAGGTGAGTCAGCGGGCTGACCGGGTCCGGGGATATGGGAGGGGGGTATAGCAGAGCCGGGTCTGCCTGGGGGTATCCCGGCTGGGTCGTTGATGTTTCTAGGAGATAGAAGTGTATTAATTTAGGCGGTGGTTCAATTCACATGTAATCCCCCCCAAAATTAAAGTGAGTAACACAACATAAATGACCTCCGAGATGCACCGTTTAGATAACAGTTAATTAAATACGAGAAAAACAGCAGGGGGGATTTGCACGCGAAGGGCACGAGCCACGGTCCCACATCTCCAAACCCCAGGCTTGCAGAGGTTTACAACCAGCAGTGAGAGTTGGAGCAAAGTGCACATCATGAATCCTTTGGTTCAATGATACAGGTAGAGCTTAAGTATCATTGAGACTTGATATTACTCTACCAGCATCACTTTTAGGAACATTTAAGTTGCTTTTGAAACCGTGAGGGCCCAGAATCTGAAATGTGAAGATTTTCAGCTCTTCCTTTTCTTTAATGCTGGTAAACTGAAGCATTAAGATTTTAAACTCGTTGTTACAAGCACTTTGCACGACTCCTCAGACTGCAGGATACTTCTAGCACTACCTCTCCTCTCAGAAAGCTTCTAACACAACATTAAAGTTATTATCTATGTAAACAAGCGGTTATTAGATCCTTAAGGGAAGTAATTGGGAATGTAAATCTAATTAGTTATAGAAATATGCAGCCTGCCCTCAAAAGGATCTTAAAAGTGAACACTATTTGCTCGAAACTTTGTCTAGACTTTTTTCGACTGTTGTAATTGATGGGAAAACTCAGTTTTTTTTACATAGAGTTTACTGTAGAGCTGATAAAGTTTCACTGGTTTTGTAACATTTCTTTGTTATTGTGCTGCAGGGCATGTTGGAAATAAAGGTAAAACAAGAAAAGAGTAAATCAAAGTTAGGATTGACAGGTTTAAAATTAGACATGAATGAATGTGAGTGAGAGGGAGAGAGAGAGAGAGAGAGAGAGAGAGAGAGAGAGAGAGAGAGAGAGAGATGCTGTGGGTTCACACTGGTTGCCTGGTGGTGATGCTTTGCGCAGACAGTCAGTGCTCCATTCAGACAGAAAGACAGTCTGAGTAGAGAGACATGCAGAGACACATTTACCAAATATGGGGCATAAATGGAAACGTGTTTTACTATGAATTTATGTATTTATGTGTGGATTATGTCCTCTTATAGCTGCACACAGATCTGATGTGTTCAGACTAAAGCTCCACTATCTCCACCCTGCATGAATGTTGCCTGTGGTCGCTGTTTGGTTGTACGTTTTTGTACAATATTATCTTTGTTATCAATTTGTGGCATTTCTTCCCTGCTGCATGAAAACCCTTATAATAACCCATGTTTCTGTGGTCATTATCTTTGACTGTTACCAGCACCAAAAGAATGAGACAGAGAATGGATAGGACAAAATGAAAGAGACTACTGTTAAAGAAAAAAAATATTTACGGAGCACTTTTCTAAATCAACCAACACAGTGCTTAAAAAAAAATTAAAAATTCTTTTAAAAAGTCATAAAACATTTGAAGTGTTCTTTGGTTTTTCATCATTGTTTTTATGATGGAAAATTATTTATTTAATTCCAAAATAGTGTATATAAAATCTCATAAATCACCAATGTTTGTATTTTTCAAAAATGCCTTTATGCTCTTTAAAATATTTTTGTGTTAATGAAAAAATTAACTCATATCCCAAGATATTCATGCCACAAACCCCCAGGGCCACCTTAGCCCCTCTGTCTTTCAGTTCACTGTTATTTGGAGAAAAAGGAGTGCAGAGAAAGAAGTAATGTCATGAATTACAAAAAGTCAAAGACAAGAAAAATCCTTTTTTTTTCAGGCAACAAGGACAAAAACAGCTCCCTGTACCCATGACAACTCACAGCTGTTTCACTTTGTTGTTGTTAACAAAGGATGAGATTAAAAAACTGACACAGCATCAGTGTGCTGGAAGAGAAGTCAGGGGTGTTTATCCAACACAATGAGCCAGAATTATGTGTCAGCTGGAGCAACAAGTCCTTACATAAGACACCACAAACTCTCTGAAAACACTAACAACTTTGACAAAGGAGAGAAAAGTTTTGATCTGATTTTAACCGCTCAGTAATTCATCGCATTCATACAACAGCTGAATCACGACCTGCTCCTGAAGTCTGACTTCTTAAATCTGGAGTCAGACTTTGTTAAGCAGATAAAGCAGCAGTTAGTCAGCCATACAGGAAGTGGTGCAGTAAGACAGACAGGCGGTAAAACAGTCACACAGTCAGTGAAACTGTTAACAGTAGCAGAGTCAACATCTGCTTCCAATCTGAAGCCGCTAACAAGCAGTGCTGTGTGTTCACCTTGGTGTGGGCTCTAGCTGTCACTCAAACCCGGCCCACCACAGACCCCCCACCCTCCACCTCGCCTGTCTCACTGCACACAGATACCCGTCTGTCTGTCTCTCTCCCTCTTGTCTGCGTCTTCACCTCTTACCTCCACATGTGTCCTCTGTACGTGAAAACATGTGGTCTCCATCCATCTCTGTCCTCCTCTGAGTCTCTGAGCCTCAGAGCTGACATGTTGTCGTCTCCGTGTGAACCCCGGCTGTCAATTAAACTTACAGAGACTTTACAGAGTTTATGTAACTTACTCGTCCCCTCCCTGTCTTACTCTATCACCTGCTGCTTTAATCTCACTGTTCCCCTTCAGCCTGAGGAGAGGATCATCATCAATCATACTCTTCATTCAGACGTCAGTTGCATCAGCGAGAAAAACCATCATCTCACTTTCAGGCTCCCACCTCTGTAGCTTTCCATTTGTGAAGAAATAGATTTCGTATTTAAGCAACTTTTTGGATAGTTCAACCAAAATAAGATTAAGTCCTGCAGTTAAAATGATGGAGATGTATTTGGGGGAAAAAAAACAAACAAACAAAAAAACCTCCTGTAGCAGAAATGATGGCTGGCTTTGGAAAAACAAAGGTTTTCTTTGCACTCCTCATTAAGACAGTAGTTCCTCTTCTTATGCAGAGCTCCTCCAAAAGTGTCTCATTAACTAAACCAAAGCTTTGCAGAGCTCATGTTTAAAATGAGCATTGATGTTTTTATCTGTTAAAAGCTGGTTAGTCTCTAAGTTTGGTCTGTAGTTTGATAGAAGTGCTGTCACATTATACAGTCATGATGATGACTGTCATTTTAGACAAATTTTAGATTGATTTAGATCACCAAACAGACAGTTATTCCCCTTAAAGCTCCAGTGAGGATTTTTTTCATTTCCATGAAATAGACTTAAATTCATATTGGTGTTTTCTATTATGACATACAAAACTAAAAACACAGTAAGTGTCAGCCAAGAAGCTGAAGAAACAGTCCTGTTTGCACATTGTCCTCATAAAAATTTACTGTTAATGATGTATTTGATCATCAAAAATCAGCAGGATGAGATTTTTTTGTGGTGATAAGAAACTACTCACTGGATACTATTATTGATATAATTTTGGGTTATTATTATAAACACACTAAAACATGTGAATTAAGTCAGAGAACACATACAAAGAAGAAACCCTGTGTGTTCAATTATCACAGAAAGAGCTCCAGGCCTGTAAGTGCACTCAGCTTTTGACATGTGCATATATTCATTTAACTAGTTCGCATCATTTTTAAATTTGCAGCCTGTTTCCTCTCTGTTGACAAATGAAGCAGATGTGGAAAGGCAATCAAACTACAGACCTGGATGATTTAAAGAAAGCAAAACAGTCTGTAAACAAACTGATGACCTGCAGTGTCAGTGTAAACTATAAATATCTGCTGCAGGAGAAGCTCTTTACTCCTGAACCTGCTCAACCGTCTACAACAACAACCTGAGCTCAGCACTTCAACAGACTGAGAGGAGAAGTAAGAAAGTGTTGAGCTTTAACATCAAGCTTTGGTCTTTTTATTCATTTTCTCAACTTCAGGAGACAGTATGAGACCAAAAACTAGAACTTAAGAAATACAGACTCTTTATGCTAAAAGAGAGACTCTGGTTGAAGATGTCTGACATGTCTTTGCAGGTTTATTCTCTTGTTTGGTGAAGCATGACTTTATGAAATATTTCATCATGTTGGTCCTGACTCGCGTCTTTACTCCTTCCACAAACTGAAGCCTGGAAACTTTCTTATAGGATATCAACAGCAGGGTCAGGTATCTGTCACCTGTCAGTGTCTCTCAACCTCAGGGTCATGACCCCTGCAGGAGGTCAGGGGATGGTTATCAGGGGTCAGAGGTCAGATTATTGATAGAATTAAAGAGAAGTGAGGGATATGATTACACAGTGTTTCTTTTTTAAATATTCTGGCTCTGAATTACTTTTGCTAAAGTCCATGAACATTTTTATTTTTGTTCTTAGATGAAAAAGTTAGTTTGTCAAGGATGAAGCCATATAGTCACAGACTGGATGACACTGTCCTGGCCACACTTACATGAAAAGATGGAGGCACTTAGTACGTGTCCATGAACAGCTAATTTGAGCGACCGTGACAGCATTATTGGTGACAGAAGTTACAGGAGGAGGCAGGAGTTCAGGAGTTCGGCTGGTTATCGATGGGCCGTCTCCTCGTCATTAAGTTATCATGAGGTGAACTGTCTGTAAGTTTACAGCTCTGTGCCTCTCATACCAGCCAAACAACAGTCGAGCCTTGTTTACTTCCTGGTAACCCTAGTTGACTAAAATGTGTGCGTGTTTAGCTGTAGCTGTTGCAGTTGGCTCATGGCCTACCTCTGCCCCAAAAAGTTAGTTTTAGTCAGCTTCTCCAATATGGCGACCGCCAACTTTTGCCTCTCTAGACACCAATGAGCTTTTAATTGGATTAGAAGGTTAAAAAAATCTTTTCCTGCCCCAAACAGTAATTTGGTCTGAAACAGAAGTCCAGAAAAGCAACAGATCACAACACAAGCAACACACAAAACAAAGATAAAATGATATATATCGTTTGAATATGTTTATGCGGTGACTTTTGTGACACAAAGTCCAATAGTCCCTGTATTTGCAAAATCAACAGTTCTTGATGAAGATGATGTGACTGAGACTAACATGATTCTTGAGTCTATACTCAGAACATGCTTACACTTTAGTTGGACCCTCTGGTCCTGTGAGTTAAAGGCAGTGTGGGGAGAAAGACACTCAAACTGATACTAATGCCTCTTTATGACCTTCATGGGGGGTAGGAGTCAGACCAGATGACTGATACCAAACCACAAAACGACCCATTTACACTTTTTTTAAAGTAACGACTCACGGTGAGTGAGGTATGTTTCACTCTTAAAGACAGAAGAATGAGGTTTTTGTCTGTAAACACCACTTTCACATGTAAGAAATAAAACATATCACTTTGTCCACAGGGGGCGCCAGTGTCAACACAAACCAAAAATTCCTCACAGCAGCTTTAAGAAGTCTGTACGAGTGTGAACAATGTTATTTGAGTTACTTCACTACTGTGTTGCAGACAAGTCCACATTAGCATAAAAACATTAAAAAAACATTCTGCAGTCATGTGACACACAAACACCGCCTGCACAGAGTTTAGCTTTTCTGTGTGTTTAAATACAAGCTAAAATACATCACTGATGACAAACATTCAGATGAATTTAATTTGTTTTTGTCAACAAGATGATGCTAAGAAAAAATGTGTTTATAATGGAACTTTGGATGTTTACAATCTGTCATATTTTCTCTCATGCGGAGCTAATCCACAACCTAAAACTGGAGCAATGTATTCTTGTAACAGGCTGTTGTGTTTCTGCTCTGAGGGCAAGTTTTGTGTTATCTTGATGAGAAAAGCTGGAGACATATGCACATGCCAAAACCTCAGATCACTTAGTCCTGATCAGGGCCTTTGGGAGACCTCTATGTTCAATGAAATCCAATCTCTCAAAAGATGTCAGGGAGACCCTGGAATCCTCGTCTTCTTACCTTTGCTGCCTTCTTCTCTGATTTCCATCTCCTCCATGGTGGGCGTGGCCTCTGCTTATGAAAAGGAGTTCCTCTGGTCCATAGTCACTCTGCTTCACTAACACAAACAACCACATGCAAAGACTTCTTAATGCGTGACAGAGCTGTGCAGAAAATCCTGAATAATGTGGATTTAGTCAGACAAACAAACTCATTAGAGGCAGATAAATTTTTGGGAGAATAAAAGTGAATAAAACAGAGCCCGCAGTGTCTGTCAGCGAGTCTAAACGCTGTTTCGGTCAATAAACACAGCTGTCCAGTGAACATCAAGTCGGCTTTTTGTTGCAACTTGATGGTCTGTTGAAATCAGGCTGTTGGATACACAAATGATGTGTGTAAACTCAACCTGAATTTCTCATTCAAACACATCTGTATGACTGAGGACGACACACTGTGGCTTTTAATGACCTACAGGCCCCCAAAACCCGCCAGAAGGACCTGGACCCTCAGTAAAAACAGAAAACCTCACTGTGGTTGCATCAGATCTCTTTAGTATTTGCTGGCACCGTTTTTTCCAACAAAAGAAACATAAACAAAACAAAAATTAGAGAGATTTTGTTATGATTTCCTGAAGCAATCTGACCTGGAATCGGTTTTGTCCTCCCGGAGCTACTGGTGTTGAATCCTTTTGTTCTGATGGTTCTGGTTTTAATTCTGCAGGTTTATTTTGTTTCCATCCAGATGATCCGTGTGCTGATTTAATATGATGATCTCAGATATTAGTCATCCTCCTTTCAGTCAGTTCATCATTCGATTATTTAAACCAGTCAGCAGGAACTTGTCCTACACAGTTTACAGTCAGTCAGTCAGTGGGCAGAGAGGCTTTAGTGCAAAATATATTCAAGAGTGTGTTTGTACATGTTTGCACTCCATCCTGGATGTTATCTGACTATCTGACTACTGGTGTGTGTGTGTGTGTGTGTGTGTGTGTGTGTGTGTGTGTGTGTGTGTGTGTGTGTGTGTTTGTGTGAGATAAAGGAGATAATCACCTGCTGCAGACCTGCAGCTTTCTCACACACACCTTTCTCTTTCTGCAAACACTCTGCTGGTCCGGGATGACTGCACTTTACCATTATTCTTATTCCAGGGCTTTTTGTCATCTGTTGATTTAATATCTGGAGGATGTAAAAAATAAAAGAGGAAATCTTCACTCTCAGTCTGTACAATTTCACCAATAATGGGTCAAGTCTTCTATTTTTACTTTTATCTTAATTTACTTTTGCTTATTCACCTCTTTATCTCTGTATGTGATGAGTAGGTCTCATGCCTGAGCTCAAACTACATCTTCCACAGGGCTTGGTCTCTACCACAGCAGGTCTAATGTATACTGCCAGTGATGCTTTATTTTAACCTGCCTGTTCATTGTTTGATATGTCTGCTGTGATGATGGCCTAACAGACCAAAATCTGGGTTTATTATAGGGGAAATCGCACAACTTAAGCATGTTTACTCAGCTTTTGTAATTTGTTGCCTCGTCAAAGAATGCTACGATATTGCAAATCAACGGATCGAAGAGCTCAGAGTTCAACCAACTTTGAGTTTAGAGACTAATTGTGCATTTGAGTTGGCAGATAATCCTAAATTATTATTATTTACCTTAATTATCAAAAAAATTTATACGTATATTACCTATTTACCTAACACTGCTTCATTTTCAGGCATCCTCTTCAGTCTGTGGGTTTTTCCCTCCCATATTGTAACCACCAATCAGGGACGCTTGCTCAATCTTGACTTGACAGTTACAGTTTACAGTTAGTTATCTTACAGCTAGCTAGTTCTGGTATCCTGTTCGACAGACTGCAGACACACCTCTTATCCACAGATACAGAAAATCATCCAATAAATTGGCTCTGTGGCAGAGAAATGATTGGGTTAAAAAGGAAAATAAACCGTGATATAAGGGGTTGTGTAGCCAAACAGAGCCAACAATTTCATCATGTTATTTCAGAGCATTTGTAAACAGAGATTTTTATAGTTTTCATTGTCAGTTTGCTTTCCAGTCTGTATTTAGTCATGGTCAATTATTCTGTCTATGAAAAAATCATTGACAAAATTAACACTTCCTTAATCATAGTTGCTTCTATGTTGTCAAGTGACTTTCTACGATTAAGAGTAATGTTTTTACACACTGTGAATCTGAGTAATATTATTCTGCTTAAATGTGCTTTGTACAGTTTCAAGTTGTTATCCGATATCAGATTTGGACAGTTTTATCGTATATCAGAAAAATGTATGTCCTCCTCCAGAGCTACAGGTAGATGCTGTAGTTTCTATTCACATGTAAAGAAACACACTTCCTTGTTTCCGTCACTAGAAGTATCATCTGATTATCCATACATATATGTACACCATGCACATGGGTTTGTAGAAATGAACAGATTCGCCGGGACTATATAGTCACCAATATAACGAATACTGGTCTTCACACTTTAAAATCTTAATACCTCACAAAAACATGCATTTCAAAGCTCTCACTCATAAAACAGGTCCTCTGATCAAATGTACCTCACAGGATCCTCACATTTCTTTCTTTTTTTTAAGTTGTGTTGGGGCTTTTTGCCTTCATTAGAGAGGATAGCTGAAGTGAGATGGGAAATGAGGGGAGTAGAGTAGACATGCAGCCAAGTGTTAAACCAGGAACCAGGAACCAGGACCAAAGCCTCTGTATGTGGAGCACACACTTAAACCACAAAGCCATCAGCGCCCCTATATCTTCCAGATTATAATTCAAATACCAAATACAACTCTCTCTGTCAGAACCTGAAAGGAAAATTGTTATTTCTGGCTGAATAGATGCCAATATGAGCGCAAGCACCAATTACGGTATAATGGTTGATTCCAGAATGTAGCACGATAGCACAAGTACAGACGAGTCAGAGGCACACAAAGATGGAAGTCAGTCAGTCAGTCAGGGCTGTAAAACTAGGGTGTATATTTACAAAATTGGCATTTGCAGGTTTATTTATGCATTTTCAATTTTTTTTCAACACAAATTACAGCTGAGACAAAGTCAGGAATTAACACAAACCTCTGATTATGTTAGTAATCTGAGTCAGGATGTGTTTGTGTGGCTGAGAATCACACTTTTATTTTATAAGATTAATCCTTTTTGAATGTCTTTTCTTTATAAGCAAAAAATGATCACAGTAAAGGACTTGTCTGAGAAATAGGCTGTTTTTTTCTTTTTACTATCTATACCAGCTTTCATGCCAGGAGTTTGGTGTCACTGCCAGGTCTTTGTGAACAACTTACTCTTGTTGTAATCCACCTGTAGGACGAATTCCAGTGATATTAAACTTTTATTTTGTCAAAGGAAAGAAAATTTAGAAAATGATGACAAGACAAACTTAAGTGCAGCCATAGAGAGAGAGAGAGAAGTTTGGTTGCAGTGATTTTTATTTCATAATGAGTCCTGCAGCATCTCTGTGTGTCTCATTGTGTGTCTCTGTGTAGAGCTGCTGAAATCATTACAATCTGTTGAAAACCACCGGCAAGACTCGACAACACACCTGTCTTTTCTATCAAACTGCACAGAGACAAACAACAAATAAAAACCAGCTCGCTGACCACATCAGGAACACATACTTCATTCAGCTTCTCTGCAGCTAACGCAATTTACCGCTCGCTGAGACCGTGAGATGAAATTTCCTCAGAAATCTGCAGAAACGTAGTGGCAGAGCTTATTTTTGTTGAAGTCAAAGTTTGATGCCAGAGAAACAGTTTGAAGCCACATCAGTCAAACTCTGTCCAGCAGAGAGGGAAGGTCTCAAGTGAGCGAGGGCGGTGATTGATACAAGCTCCGCTGAAAAATCATCTGTATTGATTGAAAAATGAGGTTCTGTCTCTGTTTGGCTCTGCAAGTGCATGAGTCAGGCCAATAAACATCAGACTTTCAAATTTATCATCTTACAAAACCCAGAAAAAGAATTGTTTTTGGGCTCAGTTTGGACTTAAAATGCAAATTAAGAATGAGGTTATTTTTTCCATTGACTCTCCATTCAAACAGACAATGTCATCATAAAATTTAATTCACTGAATCTAGAATACTGTATGTGAAACTCTTAACGTAAAGAGTTTTATCAACAATTTTTTAATTAACAGGTGATAATTATTCACTTAGATGGATCTTCAACATAAATACTCACCGTTCTTTAATTCTTAACCTTTAAACACATTCATTATAACTTGATTTTGCTCTTTTGGCATTTTAGTTACAGAAAGCAGTTAGAAAACTTTTACATTTGAAAAACATCCAAAAATATGAATTCAGAATATGGACATAAAGATGTAGATAAAAATGGTCTAAGTTTATAAATGAGTGAGTTGTTTTTGCATGTGTTACAGTATAAACAGGTCGTGTAGTTTAATGCTTTCAGCAGAGTCCTTAGGGTGAATAACAGGTCAGGAGAGAGTCCCTCCAGTTCTCTGACTGCAGGTGGAGACCACATCAGGACCTTAAAACTGTACATCTGGAACATGCATTAACGTTATCCGCTCCACAGGGGGCAGCAGTGACACAAAACCAGGGCCTTACATTCACTTTTTAGTATTCAGCGTCACAGGAGACTTTTCAGGCATTTAACTGCTCTCAGGTTCAAGGATGGCAGCTGTGCTTGCAAATATGTTAAATCTCAACCTTGAGGTAGTTTTTTTCTCCAAACAGTATTTGATGAAATAAATTCAGCATGTTGACTAACCTTTAAAAAAAAATTCAGGAATAGATTTTTTAAAAATCTTTATTCAGGAGTCAGCAGTTATTTTCTGCATGCAAAATGTGAAACATCTACAACAGGATACTATGTTTACTTACTTTGCAAATTTACTGGGTTAAAAATGTTGAATTAACTGCTAGTTAACCTCTAGTCAACCATTACTTAACAGGTGGATAAAGTACACAACATTTTCATCTAACATCGGGTTTAAAATGTGTAACTAACAACTTAACAGATAGGGAAGGATCACAAATTTTGCTAAATTAATGAGCATGAAACTAACATTTACAACATTTCCACTCTGGAGGGGGTTTTCACTTTGTTACGTTTTCATCTCCTGAAAACGCAGTTGCCGTCTAAACGAAACTAAATTTTTCCGTTTTCTATGGAGACGGTTTCCGTCTAAAAGTGGCCTAGGATATGAGGTATATTAGGTACACCAGTTATGTATTGTGTCTAGTTTTTTAACCATTAGTGTAGTCTCAGTTAACAACAACTTAAACGGAAGACACGATTTACACATTTTTCATTGTAACTGGGAGATGTAAATGTGTAATTTACAACTATTTATGAACTAAAAATGGTGCAAAAATGTTGCGTTGTGACTGGATAATAATACGTGTGTAACCGACCACCAATTAACCAATAGTTAAAAGGAGGATAATGAGTTCTTAAAGTAGATCATAATTACTCAACAGAGAACAAAGTTAAACTTCGTAATGAGTAATTACTTAATGTAAAGCTGCACGATATTGGAAAAAAATAATATTGCGATTTTTTTCAACCCTGCGATATATATTGCGATATTAAAAATACAGGAATTTTCACCAGATGACCTGAATAGCACTTAATTTTATGCTGCACTGCTGAAATCTTGAGGACAGTTAATCTGCTCTGCTCTTACCTCTTTTTGTGAATGTTAGTAGAACGGCTTCTGTCTGTCTCAGAGATATTTTTAGCTTTTATTGTGCTGGGACGCTATTGTGGCAACAGATGAACACAGAAGACGTGTTTTGGTCGACATCATCCTTCTTTTAACCGAAATAATTCCAGATAACTGACTTTCCTTTTCTTTTTGGCAACAAATCTTCATTTTCGGTGGTTTTCGCTTGTTCGT